GTTCAATAGAACTGAAGCGGCCCGCTCCAGCCAGCCCACCTGTCACAGACAACCATCACAGGGCTGGAGCCAAGGGTACAGATGGATGTGGCTGATAGGTCCGAGAATTTCTTGGCTGAAAAGGGGGCTACCTACTCTGTCCTGACCTCCTGCTCCAGAGCTTTCTCCATTCAAAACTGTACCATTTTGGCTGCTACAGGAAAAGCAATTAACAAAAAGATGCACATGAGCACTTCTCTGTTGCTGGGATGGACAAATATTTTCCCTTCAATTTCCAGTGATCCCTGAGTGTCCAGCTCCCTTATTGAGAAGAGATCTTTCCCTGCCTTTGAAATCTTGTAGCTATTGCAGATCTGATGGAAGATGCTTTAAAACACTCTCTTAGAGGCAAAATAACTATTTTTACCAGCCACCAAGTGAAACAGCTCCTGAGTGGGAGAGGCAATTTATGGATATCTGATCAAAGACTCCAGATATCAAATAGTGCTGATGGAAAATCCAGGCATAACTACATCCCCTTGTGAGGTTCTTAACCCAGCTACCCGCCTGCCTTCCCCTGAGGGCTCTCTGCCCTTTCAATCTTGCCTAGAAACCTTGGACCACTGAACAAAACCCCGAGAAGGATTGTCAGAAGATCTTCTGACCAATCCTGAGGAAATCTGGTAAACTGATGGAAGCAGCCTTGTCTTCGATGGAAAAAGAGCTGGATATGCAGTAGTCTGCAATCTTGAGACCATAGAGGCTATACCTTTGCCACGAGGTACTTCAGCCCAATTAGCTGAGCTCATAGCCCTGACTCAAGCTTTAGAGCTAGGAAAAGGAAAAAGAGTAGCCATTTATACTGACTCCAAGTATGCCTTTCTGGTACTACTTGCACATGCTGCTATTTGGAAAGAAAGAGACCACTTGACCACCCGAGGGTCTCCAATCAAATAAGGTGATCAAATCCTTAAGATCATGGAGGCAGTCCATCTGCCCACTGAGGTTTCAGTCTCCCATTGTAAAGGGCATCAAAAAGGGAGCTCACAACTGGCATGAGGGAATCAAGAAGATGATCAGGCAGCTAAGAGAGCAGCATTACAGAACAATGGCCTAATAGGGGCTGCCACCTTATTTCCACAGACTAATTTGCTAGAAACTCCTTCCTATGCTGAAGGTGAGACTCTTAAAGCTAAAAGTGAGGGTTTTCAAGATCATATGGGGTGGTTCCAAAAGGAGGGACTCCTTTTTCTGCCTGGGAACCTCCAGTGGAAGTTAATTAACTACTTACATGCCATCACTCATTTAGGGGAGAAGACCCTCCAAAGATTACTAGAAAGGTCCTTCAGAGGAACAGGCCTCCAAACGACTATAAGGCAAGTGATCTCCTCTTGTCCCACTTGCCAGTTAAACAACCCCCAAGGAGCTCAAAGACCCCAGATGACCCAGTCTGTCCGACGTGGGACCTACCCAGGAGAGGACTGGCAGATGGACTTCACACAGATGCCAGTTTCTTGAGGGTATAAATACCTATTAGTCATGATAGATACATTCACAGGATGATTGAAGGCCTTCCCACATGGACTGAGAAGGCTGAGAAGGCGGTAAAAACAAACAAACAAACAAACAAAAAAACCAAACTGCTCCATTAAATCATTATGAGATTTGGTATGCCCAGGTCATTACAAAATGACAATGGGACATCATTTACTTCTAAGGTCCAACCAAGGGGTCTCTGAACTACCCATTGCTTCAAATTTTTGTTGCGATGAGACAGAACTGAGGAAATTAAAAAACCCCCGACTAAGTTAAGGGCAGGCCTTGCAAGAGTTAGTTTATGTTTCTTTTACTCTTGCTCCTAAGGGTAAAACTTCCAACTGAAAGCCTGGTGTACTGGTTTACTAGTACTTCCTGTTGCCCCAGTTCCAGTGTTTATCCTGCCACTGCCATGAGCCGCTAGAAACCCTGCATAGCCTCCCAGCCTCAATCACCGCTTTCAAATCAGTGAATGCATTGAGGGGACAGACAGGAACAAATTTCTGACACATAACCTTCCTGGTCTTCCCTTCTATTCATGTCTCAGTCTTACAAGTGTTATTTACCAGGGAATCCTGCAGTGCCGTCAACAAGACTTTTTGGTTCATAGTTTTCCAACTCTTGTGTTTGTTTTACAATGGTTTAGTTGTTTTTCAATTATTCAAAGAAGCTATACCCGCCATTTCTGGAAGCAGAACACATCAAATAGCATATTGCTAAAACATAAATAAAGAAAAAAATTGTTTTAGAGCCCCAAAATAGCGGAAAGTGTTGTCTAAGGAGACCTGACTATCTTAAGTAGAAGACAAAGTTAGGAAAATCACCTAAAGAAGAAGAAAAGCTTAAGAGATGCAAATGACAATTCCTAAAAGATGAATATGCAGAGTACATCATGAGAAATGCCAGGCTGGATGAAGCCCAAGCTGGAATCAAGATTGCTGGGAGAAATATCAATAACCTCAGATATGTAGATGACACCACCCTTATGCAGAAAGTGAAGAACTAAAGAGTCTCTTGATGAAAGTGAAAGAGGAGAGAAAAAAAGTTAGCTTAAAGCTCAACATTCAGAAAACAAAGATCATGGCATCCAGCCCCATGGCTTAATGGCAAATAGAAGGGGAAACAATGGAAACAGTGACAGACTTTATTTTCTTGGGCTCCAAAATCACTGAAGATGGTGACTGCAGCCATGAAATTAAAAGATGCTTGCTCCCTGGAAGAAAAGCTATTACCAACCTAGACAGCATATTAGAAAGCAGACATTACTTTGCCAACAAAGGTCCATCTATCAAAGTTATGGTTTTTCCAGTTGTCATGTATGGATGTGAGCGCTGGACTATAAAGAAAGCTGAGTGCTGAAGGATTGATGTTTTTGAACTGTGGTGTTGGAGAATCCTCTTGAGAGTCCCTTGGACTACAAAGAGATCCAACCAGTCCATCCTAAAGGAAATCATTCCTGAATATTCATTGGCAGAACTGATGCTGAAGCTGAAACTCCAATACTTTGGCCACCTGATGCAAAGAATTGACTTATTGGAAAAGACCTTGATTCTGGGAAAGATTGAAGGTGGGAGGAGAAGGGGAAGACAGAGGATGAGATGGTTGGATGGCATCACCGACTCAATGGACATGAGTTTGAGTAAGCTCCAGGAGTTGGTGATGGACAGGGAAGCCTGGTGTGCTGCAGTCCATGGGGTCACAATGAGTCAGACACAACTGAGCGACTGAACTGAAAAGACAAATATAATTATTCAACCTATATATGACAGGAATTCCAGGATAAGATGAACAGAAGAAAAGAAACAGTTAAAAAGTTAAAAGCTAATCAAGAAAACTCTTATTCCCTGAAAAACAAACAAAAAAAAAACCCGGAGTCTACAAATCAAAAATTAAAAAGTTCAAAGTTCTGGGAATAATTAATGAGAACATGTATATTTAAATGTATTCTGATGAAATTCTGAACTTGGAGTTTGGGGAAAACAGAGAAATCTTACATGCATGAAAATAAAAAATGCAGCTTTTGTGTTGGCATGGAAAGAATCGTTATTTCGTGAAGTTATTACTCATTGTTTTCTTACATAAAAGGCTCCAAAATCTAGGTTCATTTGCATTTCTGCAATAACAAAAGCTTATACTTTTAAATTGGCTTCAAAGTACATCGAAAGCTTCTTCCGATTGATACTGCTTGGTGTCGATTTAGTGGCTGTAGTTGGGAGAGCTTTCAACTTCTTTGTTGTCAAGTTCATTGTGGGAAGTTTAGAAATAATGCCTTCATTACCATAATCTATAATGATTTCGTATTGTTCTCAATTTCCTTATCACGCTTTGTACTTTCTGTTCACAACTGGGCATCACAGATTCAGGTTCCAAACCCAAGATACATACCTAAGATAAATCAGCACATATAAGTAAGATATAGAAGGACAAGCAAAATAATAAAAGGTAATAACTGAGGCTATTTGTGAAAAGGGACTTCACTTTGGTTGGAAATGGAAGGAAGCAAATTTATATTTTTTAAATGACAACTGAATAAAGCACAATTTCAGCACATATTTGAATTAATTTGACTGATGGAGCTGAGTTTTACTTGACTGATACTTAAATTTGGGAAAGAAGCAATGTTCTATAAAGTGGTGAATTTTATTTTTTATAAAACAGCTGTATGGACACCTACTGACTGAGTCAACTATCACACATCCCTGCTTCTCTGTCTGACAGACTTGCAAAGGCCATGGGGGTGAACGACACAAGCATACATTTTCAGCACTGCGGCAGACCCCACCTCGATTCATCCACAGAGCAACCCAATACCACTTGTGCCTTGGAATACAAAAAATACAAAATTTTCTGTATACACTGCATATTTTCTTTTTTCTAGGTAATCTCTCTCACACATACACTGCACACAGAAGATACACAAAGCACTGGAATTCTTCTGATTCCCTTGTAAATATATGTGACACCAAATTTTCAACAATACTTCCCCAAGTCTTCAGATAATCAGCATTCCAGTACAACAAACCAGCCTTTACTGGCCAAGATAAATGTAGCAAGGAATACACCAGGAGTGTATAATCCAACTTTAAGAACTCTTGCTCTCAATGAAGAAAGTGAAAGTCGCTCAGTCATGTCTGACTCCTTGCGACCACATGGACTATACAGTCCATGGAATTCTCCAGGCCAGAATACTGAAGTGGGTAGCCTTTCCCTTCTCCAGGGCATCTTCCCAACCCAGGGATCGAACCCAGGTCTCCGACATTGCAGGTGGATTCTTTCCCAGCTGAGTCACAAGGCAAGCCAAATAATATTTGTCAAAAAGGCTAGGAAAGAGTCCCCGTGAGCAGCGGCCGGACCTGCGGTCACGCTGACGCCTCGCCACGCGGCCCCGGGGCCCGGAGCGGTCGGAGCAGCTCGCACCCTGACCCCGGCCAGCTCCCGCTCCGGGCTCGGCTGGCGGGCAGGCGAGCGCGGCCCGGTCCGGGGGGATGTCGCGGCGGGTGCACGGTGAGGAGCTGGATGAGCTGCACTGCCAGGACACAGATTCAGATGTGCCAGAGCAGAGAGACAGCAAGTGCAAGGTCAAATGGACCCAGGAGGAGGACGAGCAGCTGAGGACCCTGGTGAAGCAGTTTGGACAGCAAGACTGGGAGTTCCTGGCCAGCCACTCTCCTAACCGCACCGACCAGCAGTGCCAGTACCGCTGGCTGAGGGTCTTGAATCCAGACCTCGTCAAAGAGCCATGGACCAAAGAGGAGGACCAGAAGGTCATCGAGCTGGTCAAGAAGTACAGCACGAAGCAGTGGACGCTGATCGCCAAGCACCTGAAAGGCTGGCCGGGCAAGCAGTGCCGTGAGCGCTGGCACAACCACCTCAACCCCGAGGTGAAGAAGTCCTGCTGGACGGAGGAGGAGGACTGCATCATCTGTGAGGCCCAGAAGGTGCTGGGCAACCGCTGGGCCGAGATCGCCAAGATGCTGCCGGGGAGGACGGACAATGCTGTGAAGAATCTCTGGAACTCTACTGTCAAGAGGAAGGTGGACACGGGAGGCTTCCTGAGTGAGTCCAGGGACAGCAAGCCCCCCCTGTACTTGCTGCTGGAGCTGGAGGACAAGGACGGCCGCCTGAGTGCCCCCTCCTCGGAAGGCCAGGGAAGTGCCGTGACCAGCTGGCCCCCGGCATTCCCTGCCCTGAAGGAAGAAGAGAGCAGCGAGGAGGAGGTCGCGGCGGCCGCCCCCGCCCAGGAGCAGGAGCCCGTCCCCGCGGAGCTGGACGGAGTGCAGACCCCGGAGCCCCGGGGGGACTTCCCCAAGCGTGAAGACCAGGAAGGCTCCTCGCCGGAGACCAGCCTGCCGTACAAGTGGCTGGTGGAGGCTGCCAACCCCCTCATCCCGGCTGTGGAGTCCGGCCTCTCGGAAGCCCTGGACTTGATCGAGTCGGACCCCGATGCGTGGTGTGACCTGAGGAAGTTTGACCTCCCCGAGGAGCCGTCGGCCGAGGGCAGTCTCGTGGGCAGCCCGGGGCAGCCCCAAGCCTGGCAGCAGCAGCAGCCCGCGCCGCCCCGGCCAGCCGCCGCCGCGGCACCCAGCGTGACCGAGCACCGCCTGGACGGCCACACCATCTCCGACCTGAGCCGTGGCAGCCGGGGCGAGCTGATCCCCATCTCCCCCAGCACTGACGTGGGGGGCTCGGGCGTGGGCACGCCGCCCTCCGTGCTCAAGCGGCAGAAGAAGAGGCGTGTCGCCCTGTCCCCTGTCGTGGAGAACAGCGCCGGCCTGTCCTTCCTGGACTCCTGCAGCAGCCTCACCCCGAAGAGCACGCCCGTAAGACCCTGCCCTTCTCGGACACACTGGAGCTGGAGAGCCCCTCGCTGCCGTCCACCCCCGTGTGCAGTCAGAAGGTGGTGGTCACCACGCAGCTGCCCCGGGACAAGGCGCCGCTGCACCAGAAACACGCTGCATCTGTTACCCCAGATCAGAAGTGCTCCATGGACAACACTCCCCACACACCGACCCCGTTCAAGAACGCCTTTGAGAAATACGGACCACTAAAGCCCCTGCCCTAGACCCCCCACCTGGAGGAGGACTTGAAGGGGTGCTGCGCTCCGAAGCCGGCATCGAGCTCATCATCGAGGAGGAAGTGAGGCCGGAGAAGCAGAGGAGGAAGACCGGGATGCGGCGAAGCCCCATCAAGAAAGTCCGCAAGTCCCTGGCTCTCGACACTGTGGACGAGGACATGAAGCTGATGATGTCCACGCTTCCCAAGCCGACCAGCATCCTCGCAGCGGGCTCCTCGGGCCTCACCCCGTCGGGCAGCAGAGAGGACAGTGGCCTGCTCAACGAGGGCTTCCTGCAGGCCAAGTCTGAGAAGCCAGCGGCCCGGAAGCCCCGGGGCCACTTTCCCACACCTGCCCCCATGACCAGCGCCTGGAAGGCGGGGGCACCAGGGACCAGCTCTTCATGCAGAAAAAAGCCGGCAGCTCCTGGGTCGCCTGAAGCCCGGCCACAAGTCTCGGACCCTCATCTTGTCCTAGGGACTTGGCAGTCACGAGCCCGTTCTCATGTTTACAGGGGGCCGGGGACCGATTCTGTGCTGTGAATTTGAGAATCACACTCAGACGACTGCCTGCAGGGAGCCTTCTGCCACCAGCCCCTCCCAGACTGCTCAGGTGGGGACAGGCAGGCCCACCTACTGACCTGTCTCTGAGCCCGGCGGCAGCTGCGGGCAGTTCCTGGTGCTAACAGAACAAAGTCCCACCTCTGAGCTGGCCTGGCGCTCCCCGAGTGCCACAGGGAGCCCTCAGCTTCTCCCAAGCCCTGGTCAGGCCTGGCCTCATCTCAGACCCCTGCTTAGGACAGGGGACCTACCTAGCCAGCGTGCTCCTTCTTGCAACTTGTTGGTGCATTTTCTTGAAGGAATAAAAATTGTCTTTCTCCAGCAATCTATAGATTCAATGCAATCCCTATCAAGCTACCAACGGTATTTTTCACAGAACTAGAACAAATAATTTCTCAATTTGTATGGAAACACAAAAAACCTCAAATAGCCAAAGCAATCTTGAGAAAGAAGAAGGGAACTGGAGGAATCAACCTGCCTGACTTCAGGCTCTACTCCAAAGCCACAGTCATCAAGACAGTGTGGTACTGGCACAAAGACAGAAATATAGATCAATGGAACAGAATAGAAAGCCCAGAGATAAATCCACGAACCTATGGACACCTTATCTTCGACAAAGGAGGCAAGGATATACAATGGAAAAAAGACAACCTCTTTAACAAGTGGTGCTGGGAAAACTGGTCAACCACTTGTAAAAGAATGAAACTAGAACACCTTCTAACACCATACACAAAAATAAACTCAAAATGCATTAAATATCTAAATGTAAGACCAGAAACTATTAAACTCCTAGAGGAGAACATAGGCAAAACACTCTCCGACATAAATCACAGCAGGATCCTCTATGACCCACCTCCCAGAAATAAAAGCAAAAATAAACAAATGGGACCTAATGAAACTTAAAAGCTTTTGCACAACAAAGGAAACTATAAGCAAGGTGAAAAGACAGCCCTCAGAATGGGAGAAAATAATAGCAAATGAAGCAACAGACAAAGGATTAATCTCAAAAATATACAAGCAACTCCTGCAGCTCAATTCCAGAAAAATAAATGACCCAGTCAAAAAATGGGCCAAAGAACTAAACACATTTCTCCAAAGAAGACATACAGATGACTAATAAACACATGAAAAGATCCTCAACATCACTCATTATCAGAGAAATGCAAATCAAAACCACAATGAGGTACCATTACATGCCAGTCAGGATGGCTGGTATCCAAAAGTCTACAAGCAATAAATGCTGGAGAGGGTGTGGAGAAAAGGGAACCCTCTTACACTGTTGGTGGGAATGCAAACTAGTACAGCCGCTATGGAGAACAGTGTGGAGATTCCTTAAAAAACTGGAAATAGAACTGCCATATGACCCAGCAATCCCACTTCTGGGCATACACACCAAGAAAACCAGATCTGAAAGAGACACGTGCACCCCAATGTTCATCGCAGCAGGATGATAATAGCCAGGACATGGAAGCAACCTAGATGCCCATCAGCAGACAAGTGGATAAGGAAGCTGTGGTACATATACACCATGGAATATTACTCAGCCATTAAAAAGAATTCATTTGAATCAGTTCTAATGAGATGGATGAAACTGGAGCCCATTATACAGAGTGAAGTAAGCCAGAAAGATAAAGACCAATACAGTATACTAACACATATATATGGAATTTAGAAAGATGGTAATGATAACCCTATATGCAAAACAGAAAAAGAGACACAGATGTACAGAACAGACTTGTGGACTCTGTGGGAGAAGGCGAGGGTGGGATGTTCTGAGAGAACAGCATTGAAACATGTATACTATCAAGGGTGAAACAGATCACCAGCCCAGGTTGGATGCATGAGACAAGTGCTCGGGCCTGGTGCACTGGGAAGACCCAGAGGGATCAGGTGGAGAGGGAAGTGGGAGGGGGGACCGGGATGGGGAATACATGTAAATCCATGGCTGATTCATGTCAATGTATGGCAAAAACCACTACCAAACTGTAAAGTCATTAGCCTTCAACTAATAAAAATAAATGAAAAAAAAAAAGGCTAGGAAATAATGCTAAAAATAAAGGCTAAAGGAGAAGAGGGTTGAAACATCATTGTGTAGGTATAAGAGCTTAGTAATTAAGAACAACAATGCTGGAATGAAACTGCTTAGGTTTGCATTTCAATTGTGCAATGAACATTTTCCCATTTTTGATATTGATCAATAGAGTGAAAGACCTTCAAATATGGCATAAAACATCAAAAATAAACACTAGTATAGTTAAAATAGACCAACTCCAACTCACCAGAGGCAAAAACAAGCCAACACACTGACTCCAAATAGGAATTCAGGAGAGAAAAAAAGAAAAACTGGCAAGTCTGAAGAACACAAAAGCACGTCACAAGTAAAGCAGAAAGAAGTCTTTTCCTCATTCTCCTCCCACACCCCCCACCTTCCTTTCCTGATTCCTAGAAAATGCCAGTTCCCTTCCTGCTTCTTATCACATATATCAGCAAGAAGAAAAGTTGACATTTGGTATTGCATCTAAAACTGGAGATAGAAACCATGATGCTCTTAGCACAATAGTGCACAGGACATATGCATTGGAATATGTCTGAGTAATAAGTCTTACTGCTTTTCAGCTTCCCTTCCTACAGAATCCAAAATACAACCACCCCCACACAATCCCAACTCTATCTAAAGTAGAAACAGATGGGACTAAAGAATAATTCCCCTAGAAAACAGGCCAGTGGTAGCTGGGAGGTGTGAAGAGAAAGCAGAGATCAGAAAAAAAAACAGGTTTTGAATTTCCTAGTAACTGTGAGAGAGGAAGCTTCATAAAGCAGCACAAGACTTGAACTTGAAAAGTTAGACATACAAGAAGTAGGACAGAGAAGCCGCCCCTAAATTCTACTGGGCTCTGTGTGGGTTGGGGTGTCTGCCTGGAGACTGAAGCGCTGTTCTTTGTGTTCCTCTGAATCCTGTGAGCATCTGATCATCTAAGAGAGCTAAGAGTAAGGATATTTAAGTTCCTCCCCTCTTGACTACTAGTAAGGAGAAAAAGAGTATCTTTTTTCATTTACCTGTAGGCCTTTTGCCTTCCTGGTAACCATGTTTCCCAATATTAACACATAGTACATTCTTCGATTACTTATTCATATGTTCAACAATCTATTAATCAACTACACTGAGTAGGGAGTCTTCCAGTGACTAGGGAAACCAGCTCAGAGAGTCCAACCTTCCGAGTGTTAAGTCGTCTGCTATCCATCTTGTGACTCTCCTTTGGATCCTTTGACTTGTGCTGAATTCCTGACACGTCTTTTCTGTGTTAGCAACAAATCAGAAGGCACTGCAAACATGACAACAATCTTAGCTGATGTCTAAGTTTTCTCCACTTTTACTGCACTCCACAGTGTCAGGGCAACCACCAAAAAGTGCTTTCTTAAACTGATATAGTCTGTGACTCTAATGGTAAGTCTCTGCAGAAAAAGAAGCACCAGTTGCCCCTATGAATCACAGCTTCCAATCCTAGGCACAGCTACAGCTTGCTCTAGAGTCGTCAAATCAAATGTTTTTTGAATCTATGTTATTTTTTAAAATCTATTTGTCATGACTTGGTATTTGATATTCTTGTTTGGGTCCTGAAACAGAAAGAGAACACTTAATAGAAAAGTTGGAGGAATCTGAATGAAATCTAGAATTCAGTTAAAGAGAAGTACCAGTGTTTGACAAATGAACCACGGTGAAAACAGGTATAAGATTTAGGGGAGACTGAGTTTATGGTATACAGGAACTCTCTGCATTATCTTTGTATTTCATTCTTCTGTAAATCTAAAATCATTCCCAATTAAAAATTTCTTTGAAAAAATCTCAGACTTCCCTTGTGGCACAGTAGAAGGGAATTACCCTGTCAGTGCAGGACACTTGGCTTTGATCCCTGGTCCAGGAAGATTCCACATGCTATGGAGCAACCAAGGCCCTGCAGCACAACTGCTGAACCCAGGAGGCTAGAGCCTGTGTTCCACAATAAGAGAAGCTACCTCGAGGAGAAGCCCCAGCACTGCAGCTGGAGAGTAGTTCACTCACTGCAACTAGAGAAAAGCCCACACAGCAATGAAGACTCAGTACAGCCAAACAAATAAATATTTTTTTAATGACAGTGCAGATGCTCAGACTATATAAACCTGTGAAGTTGGTTATTCACTTATTTAATAAATGTTTATTGAAGTGAAGACGTTCAGTCGTGTCTGACTCTTTGCGACCCCGTGGACTGTAGCCCACCAGGCCCCTCCGTCCATGGGATTCTCCAGGCAAGAATACTGGAGTGGGTTGCCATTTCCTTCTCTAGGGGATCTTCCCAACCCAGGGATCGAACCCAGGTCTCCCGCATTGGAGGCAGATGCTTTAACCTCTGAGCACCAGGGAAGCTTGAGCACCTGTATTAGGCATAGGGGGTACATGAATGACTGACAGCC